AGAAGCTCGGCCAAACACTAACATATGTGTAAGCGCCAATCTATTATTATTATTATTACTTGAAAATATTTGACAAGATATTTTTTTAATTTACGTAAATGCACGCGGGTGATATTTTTGCGCCATTACCAAAGTTTCATAAAATTTTTTCGTGCAAACTGTGAATTCCTTTTTGTAATTTTCAAAATAACTTGAATGGGTAATTGGTTCGCAGTTCGAAAAGGTATACATATAATAAGGACAACATATGAAATGTCTAGATGCATGTAAAAAGTAAATTTTGATGACCAATACCAACGAATATATTGCGTAAATTTTCGATCCTAATGTTAAGGTATATGTGTCGTTTTCGTAAGAATTACATTTTTAATGCGATTCAAGGCATTTTTTAATGTAATGTTAAAACTGCTACAGAAAAGTGCATTAAAGGTTAGGTAAATATGTAGAACCTTTAGGACCTTTAAACGATCATTTATACTTAGTAAAATAACAATTATTGCTCAATTACAGAGTATGAGTACAGAGATTCCTCGAGTGTGCACCGAATTTACCAACATTAATATTTTTCAATGATATTCAGGCAGTGCCGAGGTTTGTAGTAGAACAGTACCCTGTTTAATTTTTGTTGCAAAATTCCAAATAGTTTTCTTTTAATCAACGATTTGCAGTGTTTTGGAAATTTTTATTTTTCTTTGAACGTAAGTGTCCGAATGAAAACATTTTTTGGGTGCAGATTTAAGAAACATTAAACTATACAATGAAATAATTTGCGTTACAAAAATATTTTGTTTTGCTTTTCAATCATTTTTTTCTGAAAATTGAACCTTTAAGCAATTTCTGCGCCTCGTGGACGAAAATCTCTAACAACAACTTATGTAATACACATTTCTGCATTTATCTATGAAAAAAACTTTCAAAGAAAAATAAAAATTTCCAAAACACCGCAAAATTTTTCAATCGTTGATTAAAAGAAAACTATTTGGAATTTCGCAACATAATTAAACAGGGTACTGTTCCACTACACACCTCGGCGCTGCGTAAATATCATTGAAAAATATTAATGTTGGTAAATTCGGTGCCCACTTGAGGAAGCCTTACCAAGATATCAACCAATACTTCCCATAAACCAAACGAAAGGAAAAACTTTGAATTTTTGATTAAAGAAAACAAAAACAAAATCATTCGAGCGGTTTTCGAGCATTTTGGTAATAAGAAAAATTTGCTAATTTTTTCAAAAATTTCTCAATATTTGTTGAATTTATATAAAATTTGTACACATTAGTATTTCAATTTCTCCAAAAAACTTATATACCGAAAATGAAAAATAATATCTGCAAATCATAAGTTGCTAGAGCACTCTAAAGGCTCAAAATTGACCCCGAAATAAGCCAATATTTATCGTTGTTTCTACGACAGCTACCGATTTGGTTACTTACATAAAGGAATCTGTCGAAAGGCTTGGAATTTTATCTTTACAACACCACACTTTTCTTTGAAATCGCTACATTAGTTCTCGTGAAAGAGCGTTTTCGTGAAGCTCTAAAAATTTCAACTACAACATTTGAACATAGCTTCCATATGGTAACGTAAGACGTATTCTACGTCAAAATAAGTACGCACATATCTGTGTTCGTATGGAATAGTAGCTTGTGTCGGGAAGTTGGCTTTATTCTTTAAACGACAAGGAATTTTTTGGTGGGGCTAAATAAGAATATAAGAACAGTTCTTTAACGGCTCGGCGCCAGTAAGTCATTCGCAATCGTATGCTGCAAATGCTGCATTATACTAAAGCCAGCCTTTCGACATAAGCTACTATTCCATATGAATACAGATACATATAT